TTTACATCGATACTCGAAAAAGAAGGCGAATGCTGAAATGCTGTAAATAAAAGACAAACATGTAAAATTGTGTTACAACTTCATCCTACGAAATACGTAGAAACTTATAAACTAGCCTGATACACGAACGCTTTTCAAAGGTCAACGTTTCATCCAATAGGATCCGTATTCCTTTTATCTTATTGTCGTTTTCCCAAGAAGCTTGAAGGAATACGGGTAATATTCTGCGAAATCTAAACCTATGAATCGTTTTCCAGTATTGAACCATGGAGAAATGTGTCTCCAAGGACTAACAAGCTTTCTGCTTGCCTCACTGTACATGAACTTTAGTACAGACGTACTCGGTCAAAAGTCAAACTCAATTATCTCGAAAAAGAAGTAGATATAACAAAATTTTATTTTATATTTTCAACAGATTTTTTTATGTACAATTACTACCTATTAGTTTGTATCACCAGTTAAGTAGTAAATCATTAAAATAGCGCATCCCTGTTGAATGTATAGAATGACTTCCTCTGGAAACGAACTTCCAACAAATGCTAACAATATCGTACAGTGCAATGATGTACGATTTAAAAGAACGCTGTCACAAAGTCAATGAGGTTTACGATATTACAAATCACGATGAAACACGGGGACTACATAACAGACTAACCCAATAAAACTTGCATTTCCACACGTCACGCATTCGTGATGGAGCGGAAACACACAGTGTTCTCCGGCGAAACTTTCCTTACGATGATTAACGACCGCCATAAATTCAAAGTTTCTCCATTGGATTTATATCCGTCCGGTGTGGTTCACTCCCCGAGCAAGAACTGGAAGAACCACGAACCAGAAAACAAGCAGTTATTAATGCTGTTCCAACTGTGTCGATGAAATGTCTTGCTTCGCCCATGATCCCTTGATCGGGGTCTTGATCTCAAAAATGAAAAATCTATACCTAACATAATCATTGTAACATAGACAATTGATTGTCGTTGGTAGATAAATGTTCTTGAACTTATAATCCAGGATCCAAACTATGACCGTTCCCTTTCATTACTCAAATACTATATACGAATAAATAACTTTAATAGCTGATATTGAATGTATATACTTTATTACTGATAATAATACAAAAATGGTAGAACGGAAACAGAAGAAAGAACGCACGTGTATAGAGCGGCAAGAGCGTAGGGTACGGAAAAGAAGGAAAACAAAACATCATCATCGATCTGTAATATCGACTTAACTATACAATCCATCAACAGATGTTATTATCAGCAAATGTTAATACAAGTTAGACTAGAATGATTATATGTAAGAATCTACGTAAAATTGTTAAAATGTTACATCTAAAAATGTGACACGACTTAAAAACGTATCCCTTCTGATCGAGTTACATTAATCTTTGATACTGCCTTTTGAAGCAATTTTACTATTCCCTTTTCCTTGTGAACTTAAAGGATAATAATTTTCGTTTGATCTAATATTTGCAGTTGATGCGACGTTAAAACTCCTTATCAGAAAAAAAGAATTATTAATATGTAATACATGTGTATTGCATTGTTGAAGCAATTTTAGAAAAAGCTATATTTTTCAGATATTCCATAAAAAAACGTCGGTCTGGTTGAGATCTAGTAATCGAACTGGTTAACAAATTTTTATATCTCGTCCAGCCCAACGATCGAGAAACATCTTCTTCAATTCATCTCGGGTAATGTCTGCATAATCCAGCCATCCAGCCAAAATTCTCTACGTCCTGGTACGTCCAATACGCGTTGAAAGAAAAATGCGTCAATAATAACCTGATTTTTAATGAACTCCAGACGCAGCTAGTGAGAGGAGCCTATATTCTCCATGAAATATCAACGGAAACCAGAAAAATACCTCATAGAAACTGTTAGAAATTCAATTATATTCATCGGTACTACATGAATCTGTGTCACTTTGAATATTCTGGCACAGCAATAAACTTCCCCAAATCATGAAATCGTCATGAGTCAAAATCCGAGTATTCACCAAGAGGTTCACAAAAGCACAACGAAAAAGTTTTGTATATGTGTGTGAAGACAGTTCATATAATTTTTTAGAATAGCATTCCATCCTTTCAGTTTGCATCTCATTCTGATATTCCATTATTTTTTATTATTCAGGTTGATTGCATCGTGCCAGTTTCATATAATTTTTATTTACTTTACTAAAAAACTCGTCCGCATGCCATTAGAGAAATTTTAACGTCCCGACACAGAATGTCCCATCGATCTGAAGGAATAATTGTTTGCTGAAGCAAAGTCCGACACATATGTAGGTCCATGCTCTAATACACATACAATATACATAGCACGATCGAAATGCACTTTGAGCTCGCATGTACTTTTCCGTTTGTGATACTCGGGGAAAGCAAAACAAAAAATCGGCGAGTAACGTGCACAGAGAATACATTTGAAATGTACTTCAACGATAGCGCGTATTCACCGGATAAATCGTGTTTTTTACTCCTTCAATGAGAAGGTAATAAAGATACGGCATGTGAAACGCTATGAACATTATAAACGACCCAATGCTTGTCGCGAACATCTTGCATCTACAAAAGATAAATAATGCATACAACGAAGATGAATAATTTTCGTTTTTCGTAATTGTAATACCTTGACTTAAAATAAATTTCGCATCAATTCAAGAACATCTAGAAATACAAAACAACAAGCAACTGTATAAAAAAATTATACACAGTATTTGATAGATGTGTCAGGAAATTTAAGGGGTGATTTCATAGAATAAAATGTGAAAAAATAAATGTTTTGTAGAATAAATGCGAAAATCAAGAGTAACAACATTACTGTTCACTTCATTTTTTAGTCATGAGCATTTAAAAATTAGAATAAAAGCTGCCTAAAACCAAGCAATCCGCAGACAACCGGCATGCACAGAGCAACTACAGTCACCGTAAAATGTCAATGGAGACCAGAAACAAACTTTGAACATTCTGGCATAGCATTGAACTTCCCTACATTATGAAATCGTCACGAGTAAAAATCCGAGAATTCAACAAAAGGTTCACAAATGTACAGAGAGTGTATGATCCATCAAAAACTTCGCTCGTGCATACAAAATATTCACTAAATAGTTCTCACATAAATAGCGAATTTTTAATAAAGGAGTCATTGGTACACGACGAATAGTCATCAAAATGTTCACAAGTGTCCCTCAAAGTGTCAAATCTAACTAAATGAAACTGAATTATACAGATGGAACAGTTAAAAAATCAGTAAAGACTATCCTCTAAAGCAGTGTTATGAATCCGTCAAGGTGGCAAGAGAATCTGTTGTCAAGAACTTCCTTGTCAAAAGTCAATCTTTTGCAGATCGGTCCTCAGTCTTGTTCACACCGAAGGACGTGGAATAAGGAACGAAGAAAAAGATCTGTTGTACATTTTGGACTAAATGTTTCATATTATGCTTCATTGTAGATTAGAGCGAGCATGCAAATTTATTGTATGCATACAAGTGTATCTACCTGAAAACTATTTGTTGTCTTACGTGTGTCTATTAGTGATTATTGCCACTTACGTAAATGTTCATAAATGAGACAATTCTGCACCTCCATTCATGCTTACTATCAGTGGAAACAGTGAACACTAAATAGACACAATGGCCAACCGCATTGAACACGTAGGCTACCACAGTGAAAAGTACACTGTATTTCGTTTTTTAAATCATAAATCATCGAAAATATATGTGTTTTGTTAATAGAGGCTATTGGTCCTGTTTTAAATTATATTACGATATTAATTTTACGCAAAAATTTGGTAACGGTATTTAAATAATCTAACCTATTTGCAATGCACATGTCACCCATACTTGGGTGACGTGGCAGTCAAAGATTTAAAAGTAAGCCGTAGCCGACTAATATTACAACCAAATTTCTCCCAGAATGAAATAGTCACATGAAGGAGTGTTACTCCAAGTTACTGATTCGTTTCGTTTATTTATTTTTGCTTATTTGAACCTGCCGCAAATTACGATGGACACCTTATAAATAATAATCCATTTTGTCCTTGTGCACGAAAGCTGTTGACTTGACAAAATTTCTGTTAGTTTCGCATTTACGTCAAAATCAATGTTCATAGGAGTGAAACAATTAAGCTTGTCAGAAGCTACGTAATTGGACAATGTCAATTACCCTCGGCGATCATGTGATCAGTAGTTCAAGTCACGTGTTGGGGCATTCTTTTTCATGGGTCAACGATCAACGAGTCGGCGGGAGTTTACAGACATTTACCATTTCCGGTCGGATAAAGGGATTAATAGCATTGCGGTGAATCTCGTCGGCTGGCGATTTTAATAAACGGCCGCTGCGGTTTAAGGGAACAGGCACCGCAATTGGTCATATCTCTATGGACGTTCACGTCGATGGAAGACAGGTGCGTTTACGGACAGCGAGTTTTAATTAATTCGCCAATTTTTCAGTGTTCCTTATCATTCGACGGCGACGTTCTTTACTAAGGCTGTACTGAGAAAATTTTAAGCTTTCTCTTGGTGAAGGTAAACGTCCGCCCACGTAGGTCCGACAAGCAGACATGTTGGAAAAGTAACTTAATGTTTTCTGATAAGTAAGAAGAATGTATTTGATCATGTCTTAGCCAAGATTACACATTCTTGATGTGTGATGCAAAATATAATTATAAAGTCTTTGTGGATCTTATCTTCTGTGTTTGTTAATTCTGACACATCCTCAGGATCTCTTCTATGAAGGATACAACAGTCTCTTCCAAAATTTCGAAAATGCTCGAACGTATGCTTACCAACAAAGACAATACCATTGAATAACAATTATTATAAATTAAAAATTATTGTAGTTATTTTTTGCTCGCTTACATTTATTATTACCAATGTTTATGTATGACGTGCAATCATATTATTTAAACCAATGATACTGAATCCTTGTTGGGTTTAACTATAATTTACCTTCCTGTTTTAATATACAATTTCATTCATAGTAAATCGCTTACTCACCTTTTCGCCGCTGTCGCTGGGTAGATAGAACGTCAGTACCGTAAGAAAGGAAATTCCCATACACGGAATAATAATGTTCACAGTGTAGAAAAGTGTTTTTCTTCTCATCGTTATATTAAAGGTGATATCCAGGTACGGTTCGTCGCAGCAAGTGTAAAATTTTTCGTTTCTGCATAAAAGAAATCATAGAAATTGCAATTAGCCACTTTTAATGAGTTTAAAGTAAGAAATAAGGTGAAATGTGTTCCATCACGGACGGGAAGATTCATTGTAACATTTTTTACATTTATATCTGCATATTCCTTTAAATTAAATATTAAATTTTAAATCATAATTTTAAATCATTAATTATGTACGGGTCATTCCATGCCAAATCGATCTCTTCTGGCATCATCACTTCTAATTTTGATGAAACTCTAATATGTTGTAATTTATGTGAAATAATGATGAGTTTATATCATCATTTTCTTTGCTTGAAAGATATTATCAAATTATAATATGGTGAAAATGGCAAGGAGGCGAGTTTTTAGCCAAACATGACAGTATAAACGAATTTTTATCTCGGAAACTATTATATTTACACAGACCATTTTTTTAGTTCGCATCGTAAAAGATTGTTTACTTTGCAAAGTAAAATTTTTAAATAAATTATTCTCTTATCCATTAAACCCTCACGAGCAAACTCGGCTTCCGCTAGGGGGAAAAATAACGTAGAAGAATAGCCTCCTACCACTTGGTAAATTTATTTCAAGTACTGAAATAAATGGTAAATCGAATGTTAATTTGGCATAAATATCAGTAATTCCTGATTCCAAGTGGTAGGAGGCCCTTTACCTACGCAACTTTTGTCTCTAGCGGAAGCCGAGTTTGCACATCAGTGTACGTACAGAAATAGGGAAAGTAAAGGAGACAACGTGAAGGATGTATAATAGATGCGATATGCCAACATGCTATTATTAAAACTGTCTTTAGAACACAATATAAATTCTAGGTACGAATAGTAACGAAAACAATAAAGAAAAGTTATGAATTTAAGAGAAGAAATATTGTCTTTACTGTTTTCTGTGAAGAATTGATACGACACAATGGAACATTGGAATTTCTCGTTTGTATACTTTCTAAGGAAGACAGTTTTTAGAGAGCAATTCTGTCGAGCCACATGCAAAATGTCCATTTCACACAGATGAAATTTCCTGTCTATTGATCGTATAAAATACCTCTTCGAATTCCGGTCTCTCGACCGTAAAGAAGGATAGCTTTCACTTGAAAAATCTTGTATACATGTACCAGAAATCAAAGTCTTGTAGATTTAATTATGTACTTCTTACCGCACCTTTTTCTTTACACTGAACTAATAGCAGTAGCAATAACTTCGAGGCAGTTTCTGGATGTCAAAAATAACGTTAAGATGTTCTTCATGTTTGTGCAATCGTTTCAATAATGTATTAACGAGTTATCAAGAATTTCAATACATTGTTAACGCATTAAAGATAATTTCGTTACTGTAACGTCGAATAGAACTACAGTAAATGTTCGATTAATGCTCGAAATTCGGGACCGCTTTGTAATAGTTATTGTAAAGGGACACAATTTCTGCACCTTATTTTCGGGCCGCGAGAAAAAACCAGCCAAGAATGAAGAATCTGCATATCGTTGGGACAAAAGGATTATTTATTTTTAGCTCCTTAATGGAAATCTTATTAAAATACTGGTGAAATTTTTCTGATTAAAGTTATATCAAACACAATATAATATAAATCATATTTTCTTATTTTATATTAACACATTTTCTTTCATTGACGCTTCTGATAAATTATAAATGATCCAAATTATTATATCCCGCATTTGTCACCTACTTAAACAGAAAAAAAACTCACCAATATGTTAATGAAATTTTCATTAACAAAAAACCGAAAACAAAAAGTTTCCATCGTCGCATTAGTGTTCTCCCACTAATATGTAGGTTCATAATCTTTGTTTGACTCTAAAAATTTCAGGTATTGGCTCGTGGAAACGGAAGCCACTGGCATGTTACTATTTCTCACGCGCTTGGTACTGACACAACGGGGAACCAGCCAGTAATGGGGACAAAAAGCAGGAGCATTTAACGTAGAGACCTTTCCGAGCATTCATCGAGAATTTACTCGAGATTAAAATGGAAATAAAGCACTCACCGTACAGCAGGCACTTCTAAAATGTCCCATTCTACAGACATGTAGAACTCGGAGAGGTCGACACCGACGTCCACCACGTTGCTCCCCGATTTTTCATCCATATGCCTTAGATCGACCTACGCGAAACATAAAAACCTTCCGAGTTAGTATCATCCCATACTACTGTTTCGTCTAAATCAATAATTCTCATGCCCACTTAATTTACTTTTGAAAGACAAACGTGCAGCCTCGACTTGAAAGTATAAGCTACTTGGTATATTCAACAAAAGGGCATTCTATCACTTCCTTCGATAATTATAATAACCAAATATTATTTACAAAAATTTCAGTTTTCTTTTGCATTTTTACTTTCTTTTATATTCGTAACAGTCTAAGTACATGCTTTAAGAATTCTATGATTGATTTCATTTTCCTTAACAGTGAACTTTTTTTACACAGTATCTGACAATAATTAATGCGTACTATCACTGGTGTAGAGTAATGATTGATGCAGTGACTTAATGTATATGAAAACGTAGTTCTGTAAATATTGTACAGTAACTATCAATTTATGATGCGTTATAGGAACTAATTTATGTTACAATTATTAATGAAGTTATCGATTTATAACTAAGATTATTATTTACTAGGATTAACTGTTATGTAGCTTTTTTCTCCTTAACTTGCCATTACGTCAGAGACACTATTCATTATATCGACATACTTCTCATTGGCTGTCTTATTCTAATATTCGTTATTAAATAAACAGCATCAGCAAAAATGTTCAACTCTGTACATTGACGGCTGCACATTTCTCATAACGGGCTAAGTACGAACAATAAATTCCGAAACGTAAAGTTCATAGTGCATGTCTCGTGATGCACTTAAGTGTTTCGCAACAAGCGCAACGGGAGAGCAAAAAACACTAATAAATATAGTCCGGATGAAAACGAAGAAAGAAACCAGTCTCTCTTCTTTCCCACGGAGGTAAGTATAATACTAGAGTCAACTATCAGCGATAAAAATGTCCTCGTCCAAACTAGATGCCTTTCGCTTTCAACTATTTGTGCAGCATGACGAACAAACAAAGTCGACACTGAAAAAAATCAAACTATACGCTAAGCAGATATCCTAATTAATTCGAGAAGTTTCGCGCAATTGGCGTCAACGTGCTCCTGAGTGTTGTTTCTCTTGCTTTTTTTTTTGTTGTTTTTCTTTTTTCATTTCTACGGACTCATTGGATTATTCAGACACACTTAACGAGCCAGGGATTCTCGATGATGGCTTAAGGAATAATTTACCATTGTTTCTCAGCGTTCGATTTAATCTGTTTGGCGCGAGCTTTTTTTCTAAGCGATTTCAAGCGAATGCTTCGAAGGTAAGCGATAACTTGGATGCGCAATACCGTGCAAAATATTTGTGTTAATCTATTTTGTTCGTTTTTTCTCCCTAAAACTATGTTCCCTTATTTTTTCATTTGTACTTTAGACCGAGCTACGGTATGTAGATTGCGGATGTTTATGCGAATTCCGCTCATTATAGACGATCGTACAGAGAGCAGAGTTGAATATTGGTCTTACCCATTAAGAGCTGTAGTAGGTTGAATGAAAAATAAAATGACTGTTAATTTTTGGTAACATTTGTATCTTGTTGTGTTTGATAATATGATTTTTAAGTGCTGTAAAAAATATAAAATCCACAGTCTTTTTATAAATAACTTTCACCATAGAGAGCTAAAGTGTACCTTCATCGGTATGACATTAGTAAATTGAGAATAAACAGTAAATTTATTGAATAATAGTTACAATACAATAATTACTATTAAGTTAAATAACGATTGGAATTTATGACGGAATACTGTTACATTTAATGAATTCAAATTTTGACGGTGGAAGTTATTTATGACTGAACCCACTAAGTAGATTATCCATTCTAAAAACATTAATAATTCAGTATTGTTTTAAATAAAGAATATTATTCTTCACATTTTGCAGAAGTAGAAACTACAGTAATTGTTAAATGGCAATATCCAGTTTTTAGAACATAATGTAATAAAATTCTAATTTCTGGATGCAGGAATTAATTTTTCTTATTGTATTAATTTTAAAATTTAATTCAAACATCAGTAATTCTCTTGAAGATGTTAATTTTAAATAAACAAAAAATACTTAATCTCCCCTGATTAATAATAACAATAACAACTGAATAGAAGGTAAAGCTTTTATGTTGTATGAAATCATTTGATACAAATATTGACAGTAATTGTTACTAACAAATAATAGGACCTTTAAGTAAGACACTGTACTATTATAATTATCTAAGTAAGAACAATGAACGTCAATAATATGTTAGTGAAATTGAAAACATACAAAAACTTGTTTACTTAATATACTTGACATTTCGAATCTCAATACTATTATATTTTAAACCAAAGAGTAATCTTAAATTTCTCTGTTTTAATTAATGTAAAGTCAAATAGATATATAATTGGAAAGTTCGCTAAATAATACAGTACAGAGAAAAAGAACAAATTTTCAAATTATTCAAATTTTACATTTTTCAATCTTCATAGTATCACGGAAACATTGTTTTACTTCCATTATACGAGGAAAAAATTGAAACGTGGAGTTTCGAATTAAAATTATGAACAATATAAAAATAGATTCACATTAATCGCTTTTTTCGTGTATTTTTCAACAACCTTTTTGCACGGTATTGTTTTACGCTAACTCTTTAATCTCTTCAACGTGGCACATTCAGAAACAATATTTGTATGCACGTGAACAGTGCACACAAGCATAACTTTCATACATACAAAAGTATCGACAGAGAATAATTCGGAAGCAACGATAATACACAAGAACGTCGCACAACTAGCGCAAATATACAATCAGAATTTTTGATGCAACTGTTTGGCTATCGGCGTTCAATAATTAAGTACACACGATGACACTGTGGTTTATTCCGGACGTTACGAAGTATTCTGTGTGGTGTGTAGTTATGAACAATATGTGTGTATGTGTGTAGGTGTACGTGTCTCAGATGTTGAAGCGACTTTAAAATACTCGATTTATCCTAAATTTCATTTATTTTAATCCTAGACGATACACAATCTATTGTATTAACAATAAGCAGGTGGTAAAATCTAGAGTCATAAATTAATATTTTTTTCCCATCTTCCTTTTAATTGTCTTTGACTAATTGTGTTTACTTCATTGACAAAATCGGTAATTATGTAGAATATCGTCCATCTGGCCGATTTCAGTAACCTTGATATACAGAGGTCAATATTCTGATTAATTTCATCTATACCTACACATAACCGCTGTTTAGCTTTGTTTCAAAGACATACACAAAAGTATTTTTGATACCATGTATTCTATTGGAAGGTTTTCCACTGTACACAACTGTAATATCGTCATTAATGACTTTACAGAACGTAACGAATATTAACATTACATAGAAAATAAAAAAGAATAATTGAGATTTATATTAAACTTCATGGTGCATTATTATTACTAGAAATTGGGAACATTTGGCCATTATACCAAGAAATGCGATTATACGACTGTCAAAGTCATTGTTACAGATACAAGTGTCACAGGTTGGGTCTACAACCAAGCAGGGGGTGATTCTATAAGAAAAAGTAATTTGAAAAGCAGGAATCAAATTTTTCGGTTGATGCTTCGTTTTTGAGATAATCGAATTTGAAAATGTATTGAACACACGAACAGTAGAATAGGACTTAGCTGACACATCTGTTCATTATATTCCGTTTCTACTCATTGCCAGCACGGATAGACACGTTTTACATAAGTCCTCCATTGCAATATTTTCAAAAAATAACTGTTATATGAAAAACTTTTTCTGTACACATCTTATGTATTTTTGCATAAAGAATCACCTTCTGCCCGACTGTACCATCTTTTTGGCCATAAACTGTATAAAATTACTGAAATCATTGACCTACGTAAGATATATCAAGGTCACTGAAATGGGTCATGTTGTCCTTACGCTACGAAATTATCATAAAATCAGTTCTTGTTTCGATAAATAAAATAAAATTATACATAACAATACAATTGTGATACTAATAATTTTATAATAATTGAAGAAATGATGATAACAATTGTGTTGTTTTCTATTACAATTGGTATTATACCTTAGTTGCACTATGTGATATATAACATTTTGTGTTGAAACAAATCAAAATGAAACAAGATATTATAATGAATCAAATATATGTATACATAAATTAGTACCCTCGGACGTTCCATTTTTGTTTAGTTAAATAAATACTGAAGTATAGTTAGATACAACTACATCCAATAAAAAAATGTATATAATTGCTTGGCTAATCAGAAAACAGTTAAGTATATTTAATATATTCGATAAAAAGTGGTACATAATATTGTAAATCTTCTATCAATAATAATATAATTGTTGTTAATGTTGCAATATTTTTAAAACTACTGCTTGTGATCGTGTCCATCAAATGGTAAAACTTACAAAAGTCTAAATAAAAAGGTATCAGTAATTTATTGTTAATAGACTAAGCTTTTAATAAAATATTATTATAAGTGCATATAATTCTACGTAAATTTATAATATTATCATTTCAGTATTAAAAGTAACCAATAATAAATATTTTGTATTTGTGTCTGTAATTTATTCATATCATAGATGCGGTAACTTTTTGTATCAGTACAATTAATGTTTTATATTATCGACATTACTATGTACCTATTCAATGAACGGATGAAAAATAAAATTGACAAACACGCATTAATTATTTGCTATTTCATTTGTCTGTTGTCTGAATACTAATCGAGAAGTTAGGATCTCATATTTTCATTGAATCTTCAAGAATCTGGGACACGAAGTTCTCGACCGAAATAACTTTATTGTTATTATTTGCTGTTTATTTTTCTTATCGTATTGTTTAATTATTAGGGTTCATGTGTCACTCAGAAATTCAGTGACTCAGATTTTTTATTTAGACTTTAAATCTTCACAAAGGATATTCACAGGTCGGGAATAAAATGGAGAATCTTGCGTCAAATCAATACGAGAGACGGAAGAACGGTAAAAATATTCAGAATATATATTCTCTTCATAGATTTCACGGTAGGATTCG